GTCAGCGCGTGGTCATTTAATTGGGAGTCAGAGTTTATATAATTACAGGAGGACATCTGTATTAAGTACTTGATTTAATCCGTCACGTCGTACTTCCTCGCTCGAAATCTCTTTGTGAGCAGACATGAAACTTTAATTTCTCAGTCAGGCAATTTCCACCGAGACAGACGAGGCCTCTTTCGTTCTTGATCCTGTGCAAACATTTGAGCTTCAGCAGGAGATAACTTGAGTCTGGAGTAGAGTACTTCGCTTCCATATACTTTACATGGGTTACTCTTGGCCGTCCGCACTGATGTCCGCCGGGTCGGTTTGGCAAGTAATAGCTGTTTAGCGGTTTTTTTCTGGAAGCATTCGAAGGACATATTCAAGTTATTACAGCGGTGACTTCTCCATCTGCAAAAGCAGCGGCTGTGCATCAAAGCTCTGTCGAATAATGACCAAAGTTCCATGTTGTGTTGACGTGGAGCATAACGTCAGCTATGGCAATGCATAGCTTGAGAGATTAAATCATGTAATTGATACAGATATGCTTTTGCAAGTATTTATATTTAGATTTGCGATCAAATGAATCCTCACTGCGTTAGCGACCACGATGGAATTATGTTATAAATAGAAAATCATTTATGTTCACAGCTTGATATCGGCCCCGAGTTGTACTCACAGAAAGCTTATGATTGATGGACAGTATGATGACCCAAGTTAATTAGATGATGCTGATGACCATCTGCCAATAACATACTTGAATTGATACTCTTGATCGCAGACTGTTCGTTGACACACTGACATCGCATAGTCGTCAAAATGTAATTGTAATAGGAAACTCACTACAGTGACATTGGCTTCGTTCTTCATTCTCAGAAAGCTAGCCACTGATGGAGAACATGTTGGGATGAATCACACAGAGTTTGTGCAACTGAAGACTTTGCAGTGACACTGAGTAATGAGGGTACCGTAGGACGAAGCGCTGACATCAAGAAGCGGTGTGTGCCCAATCGGCTGCCCAAATCGGCTGCATCGTAGAGCGCGATGAGGATACTGTATGAAATGAGAATTCTTCGTCTTTCAATAATAGCAAGAACTGGGCTATTGTTAGTAAAGTTGCTCAAAGGGCAAAGTGAGGCTCACAACCACCACTGAAACAATGGTCATTCATTGGTTTTCACTATGGTGGTATAATATAATGCTCACCTGACCTCATTAGGGATTGTCCAGTACTGAAACTGGTCGTAAATCAAAATCACTGTTGTTTCGCAAGCGATGGATCAAAAAGTAAGAATGGAATCGATAACTGAGCACAGCGTTGAGAACCGCCTGAACACCATTTTATGTTTGGGTTTACTGTATGGGGGCTTCTAATGGCTATCATTTTCACCTCATTGGCCATAAAACAGAGGGGAACATTTCTGCCAGTTTCTTTTGCGAAAAAACTCTGATACTAACGGTAGCTCTTCATTATTCCATAAATTTTCGAAAACTAGGCGATCACTTTTCGCTGAAACATTGATTCAAGCAACGAAGAGATCAGTCATTAATTGAGTACAAAAAAAATTCGACTTTAAATCTTCTAATAATGCGGTCCCTACGTTCTGCTTGCTTTTCACGGCCCTGACAACATGTAGGCTTTCATGTGACTGCATGCGACCTTAATTATTATTTTTAATAATTTTTATTCTCTTAGCTCTTCACTGCTCCTTCAACCTGTTTTCATTCGAACTATTTTTTCATGCACTCTTATGGAACTTGCTCTTCTTCGTTTCGCCTGTTCTAGTGCATGTTGTGCTTCTTTTAGCAAGGTATTTGGAATTTTGTTAGTTTCATTTCTATCTGTAGTGTTGCTGTTTTCATCCTTGGGCACTTTTCTATAGAAAACTCTCTTGGGAATCTCTTGTCACTCCTCGTTAGTTTTCGATTTCGGATTGAAGCGGCAGAAGCACCGTCTACTT